ATCAATGTTTATGGGTTTAAATAATTAAATAAATAAATGGTATGCATAGGTTGTAAGTAGTTGAGTCACTCATCACTCATCAACTACTCCCAACACGCTAGTTTAAACAAACACTGGAGTCCCTGAAATCATAAACTCTCGACCTAAGCTATATTAATTGTAGACTTTCTGGTGGAGCCCCACAAGATAATCTACGAACGAAGGCCTTAAGTGGTATGGCAGCAGTGACATGGATCTATATTTACTTTATTTTACCTTGAATTTATTAGACATTCTTCTCCTTGACTTTATTCGTAATCTTTTATATACATTCTTTATTTGGTTTTAAACAGCAACCGTACTCTACCGTAGTTTCTATTTAGTTGCCTTTAATCTTGTTACTTATCCGTCGTTGTGATGATATTAAACGTGGCAACTTAGACTGATATACATTTGTGCCGAATTCCATGTACGTGACTGGCTGACTTTTAATGTCTTTCAAACTTACAGCTTCCTACGTAATTTACGTAATCAACTTATTATACTGAAAGAAACAGGTCAATGGATAGTAATCAGTTTCATATTATCCTCAGTAGTAATACACTTTACCAATATATAGCTAGCAATGATTTGAGTCTTTGAAGTAGGGGTAATTCAATCAGTTGATTATATGTCTTGTTGATGAGGACTAACAAGCACGAAACCTATTTTCAGAGGTTCCTATGAATTAACTCCAAATATGCTTAATTATACACCGCCTATTTATGCCTTGATTATTATTTTGTTACCCTCCCTCACCCCCAGGTTAACTCTTTAATGTATTATATTAGTGTGTCGAATAAAAGTGCTGTTACCAACAGATTAGATTTTACTGTCTCTCTAGTGTCCATAATATTTTTACTGTCTATTAAACTGGTACTAACTTGAAGGTACATAAAGAAGTCTTCACATGTCAGTTAGTCAGTCAGTTACAACGTCGAACCAGGCACATATGTGCATCGGTCCAAGTTGCCACACCTCATTAGCATAGTAAGGTAGCAACAACGGTCGCGAGTCTTCACATGATCAGTAGTTAAAATTAATGAAACCCTAAAATGTGAAAATTTTGGTTACTAGAGAACATATTTGGATAGCCTTCCTTATAGTTTGGAAGATACAAAATATAAACAGATAAATATTAAAAACCTATAAAAACTACATCCGCTGTATAGTTTTGGCATACACAGAACAAGTAAAGGATTGAAAAATATGATTTCCACAGGAGGGGAGTGGTAAGCACAGTTACACTTGCTGAAATATCTAGATACTAGTTTTTAGCAAATGTAATATCAACTACAAACATTTTGGTAGTACGAGTTACTACCATCTATATGAAAAGTTTACTGTTTTCCAGACGCGGAACAAGTAAAAATTTGTATCCAACCATAAGACAAAACCAGTTAACAAATATTGTTGTGCTGAGCTGAATGTGGTGCTTAGTTACCTATATTACCAACATTTTTAAGCCGTAACAACTGATACAATTATTTAGTTTGCATAGCGTAGTTCACAGAACCAGGTGTATTTCGGGATTTGACCACAACAATTAGACTGATAAAATTGACAGAATGTAGCTGTAATATTGACGTATAAGCTTACTTGATGATGCACTCACACACTATTAGATAAAAATCGAATGATAGTGACGATGATACTGACGAACAGTACTGTAAGTCGACACATCTTTAATTAATAATACTAACAGATAGTTCCATAAAGATAATGATTAACAGTTTATAACGGTTTGAAGTTATATAGAAAAGGCATTTAGCATGTAAAATCCGTTAAATTAGGCTGTTAGTAAGAGAATTCTAGTTAGTGATTCGGTTTGTAAAGCAAAACATGGGGTTAGGCTAATTGAACGTAGTCATATGAACTACACGTGTGGTCTAGTATATTAGGCAGGATCAAAAAGAATTAAAAACGGAGGCAAGTACGTATAATGTGAAACCAAACGTATGGTTACAAACCAGACTAGATTAAAAGTGAAGCACCGTGCAGGATTTTCGTCTAACTGCACCGCACCTATAGGGGAGCATCCAAACAGATAGGCAACGGGTATTCCATAAGATTGCTAGCATCAACACAAATTTTATGCATATAAGAGAATTTCTATACAACGAGAAAATAACTTGAATGATATACAAGCACTCGATACCAAAACTCACAGTTTTGCGGCGATTTGACCGCGTTAGCTTGGTTATACCAACCAGGTTGATAATTTTTTTTGTAAATAATAAATATCCCAAACGGCATATAAATCCACGCACTTATATCTACCTAGAGAGACTCAAAATTAACCTCCTGGAATTATCCAAGTAATTACATTCAGACAATTTTTTGAACTGAGCGGCCAATATTTTACGACCACTCATATTTCAAGGTTAATGAATCCAGTTTTTACTGGCTAAATTCTTACTTGTTTCTATCCCTTCATTGGTTGGCACGTTTACAAGGTCAGATTGTAGATATGTGTTGTCATTCATCAAATCTATTTTTGGAAATGTTTCGTGAACTAAGGCACTAGTCTCTGAGGTATGGCTCGTGTCAGTTTCATTATCGGCTCCAATCTGTAGCTAGCAGAAATGAAAGCATCAGAACTTTAAGTAATTAATGAATTTTCTGATTTGCTATATTTGCAGTCGTCACCTTTGATAGTTTTAGAGTATTCATCTGAAAACGTATACCTTTCATACTGACTTCATGATGTTTGTATTATAAGTCCGAAGATTTTAATCTCTTAAAGTGATAGAATTAGGTAAAAGGAACTTGCCCCACAAACTATGCGTCAGACAAGGTAAAAAGTATTTTAATGAGTTAGAAGATATTTACTTCAAGAAACCTTATAGCGACTCACGTGCAAATGGGTTTATTCTCATTTAACTCAGTTAAGCCCTTTTGCTAACTTATTTAGCGGACAAAGCCATCCGTACTATAACAATTTATTGTACCCTTATTATTTTGTGCTTGCATGAAATACGTATGCTTGAATATTGATTACTGTCTACGCATTTATTCACTCTGCTAGTCTTACTACTAACCTTTTATTTGATTCGATTACTCATTAATTTCACATGCTATATATATGTCCATGTTATTCATATGGCTGACTCTGCTTTCTCGCTCTCTTGATTGTACTCGATTACTTACATTCGCTCAGTCGCTCGCTTGCCTGTTTGCCATTCGACACAACTCTTAATGCTCGTTTAATGCATCTGTAATTTTGGACATCTGTGTGTGTGGTCTCGAAATAAACGTAATCAACACTTCGTATTTGCCTTCTGATTATTATACCGTTGGGGCGTTATACAGAACGGTTAGCAAGACGAATTGTATACGAAGTTAGGAATTATATCGGATACCGACCACCACAACCTAATTGCGGCAAAGAAAAGTAGAGATCAAAATGAACTCCAGCTAGTCCATCACTAATTACTAAGTCAATTATCGTTCTTAATCCTCTGATCGTAATCCAATAAAATACATTTCCATGACTTGTTTTACTTCACATGTAACGACTTCTCATGAAAATTTCTCGATCTTGATTAGTATTCAAATAAGTGGTTCCATAGATCACGGCAGTTATTTATTAGTGACAGTGTGTGGAATCGTACTATATTCCAAGTTGACTACAGTCTAAATATATGTATCATTCGATTCTCAGCCAACGGCTCAACAACAACGTGCTCATCACAAGAAATTAGGTTTCATGGTTAATCGTCACGTAATATCATAATTGTAGATTGTTGAGAAATCTGAAACTAATATAACAAACTCATACAGTACTTTATTTAACTTCTCTTTCAAAGAGGGTATATTTCCTGTGGTTAATGAGTACAAACTTCGAACGTTAAGCCGTCAGAAGATGACATTTAATGAATAATGACATGGAACCGCACTCAATCAACAACTTTCACAGCTTTGAAATGGAATTTTTGTTGTGGATTTGAGTCTAAGTAGTGCTAAAATTTAAACTATGAAATATAAACCTTGCTAATTGGTTATTCTTGACTTCGATTACACGTTTTGGATCATACGGCTAAAAACAATAACAATAATAATAGTATCAATAATAATAATGATAATAAATCATAAGTTTCTTTTCTAATTAAAAAAGAAACTAAACTTCCGAAAACACTGAATTATCCAAGGAGAACTCATAACTCAATCCCCCTAATATTGCTAGCCTATTGTATTTCTCAAGTTTAATTACTTTCCAAAGTAAATGCCAAAAATCTCCTGTATGTCAAAATTATAATAAAAAAAACATTAACAATGGTTGGCACAGTAAATCTCTTTGTAGATTATTAAGGATTAGTTTAAAGGGAACAAATGATGTAAAATTGTTGGTTAGTCAAGAATCAGCAATATCGTTAGGATAATTGACTTGTTATATTTCCAACTTCTCCACTGAGTATTTACAATAGAAATAAAAATAACTATTAGAATTGTTATTAAATACGTGGTAGTAAATAAAATGTATTGAGATTTCTTGCATATGTTCTTTTTTCAGTTCGACTTATGAATTTGTAATTTAGTTAGTTAGTATTAATTAGATAAACAAAAACGAAATACTTGAACTTATAGACTTCGAGAATTTCTATTTAAAAAGGTGTTTTATAAAAGAAAATACCATACAGTGAAACTATATTAAGCAATAATCCCAACTTAGTAACTCTATAATGGTTCATGTACATATTTTGCGTGATGTAGATACTAAAAAAATATCAACCTGCTATTTGCCTCAAAAATGAAAAGAAATTCTGGTTTTTATAAATACACTAGTTAAGTGATCTGTCATTCATGTTGCTTTACAATGTATACTGATCTTGAATGTATGCAAACAAATTATGCGTAAACCCAACATTGGAATTCATGAACTGATTGGCCGAACACAACCTGCATTATTCTTTTAAATATCAATAAAAATATTGAATTGATCATAACAAAACAGTTTAAATCAATCAAGTCAATAGCTTTACCTCGTCTTCTTTTCTCCAATCAATATCTTCATCTGTATGTGGACCTATTGAATCATTCATTGAACCGACTGACGCTAATGGAGGGGGTGAACAACTTCGAGCTATTTTGAATGTCTGCGTCCCAAGACGAGGTCTTCGTTTAACTACGGCAGACGCTGTATTTCCTGTTGATGAAGACTCTCGAACTGATCGACGTTTTTGGTAATGATGACGTTGTTGTGATCTCAAAATTGGAGCTTCATTACAGGTTAGGTTTCTCATAGAGCCTACTCGATATCCAGTTAAGCCATCAACCACTTGATAACGTAATCTCTTGAGTCTTAAAGAGACTTGGTTTCGCGCTAAGAGAAATATAATGAATTATTAATAAAGTTAAACAATTAGATGAATGATTAATCTAAATTAGTGTTTTTCACATTATTTTAGTGATAATCATGTAAACACTTACAGCGAATCTGCTCAACGACATCTTCATGATTGAGATCAATGGCCGAAATACCATTCACCTGTAAGAGAATCAATAAAACAGATTGTTAATGTATGAAATATACGTTGGCTAAGATAGAAATCACGAAAACTTGGTATTCTCCAAATTTAATGACATGACTCAACATTAGCTATCAATAAAAAGTGTTATCAATATACCTTTGTTCAATGATAGTCTATATCCATTACGTGTGTTACCTATTTATATATATACATACTAGTTTTCTTATGATGACTCATACAGTCACCACTATTTCTGGAGACGTATTGTTTTTTTATTCCGATTGCCTGATTCATCAACTCAAAAGAACAAAAACAGATGAGTGACAGGATGTTACAGAACTTAATCCACATGCCGTATAAAACATAGTGATTTGCTGATAGGCCTTCATCTCTTAGTCTAAACGCTAGAAATTTATAATGATGAAGTACCACACATTGACTGAAATAAAACAGCATTATATTCTTCAATATTAATTTCTTTTTTGAAAACTAGTTCAATTTTGATCATACTGATTCTAAGACCTCCTAAACATATTTTATTCATTCCTCAAGTCTCACACTTGGTGTGCATGATACGAAGTAACATTCTGTTATTGAGTAGAAAGAAGGCTGATAAATTATTGGTTAGGTTGTTTCAATATAAACAGACATGTTTCAATATGTCAGGCATCAAGATAACGCTCCACGTTTGTTCGAGCTGGGTGTAAACATGTAGATACTGTCTTGTTTTTCTAATTTTACGATGCTCAGTAATTTAATGTAATAAGGTCTGTTATGAATTTCACATTGTTCTTACCTGGAGCATTACAGTTTATTGGTTTAGGTAGTTGTGTAGCACTATCGGTGTTATCGAATAAATATAGGCTGAGGCACAAAAATATTCCTGTGCAGTATTTCGAAATTATTTTCTGACTTTTGTAGTGCACTGTCAGTATTTTTTGAAATCTACTAGATTTTGTATTCACGTAGAAAAAATTGTCTCGGTTTAAACTAATTAGTCAGTTTTCCACCTTCAGGTTGTCTAGATCCATTACTGACATTGTTCAAGATAATGCTTTATCGTACTATTTTGTTATATGCCATATTTTAAAATAAATTTTTTGTTGCTAATTTAGATCAGGTGAACCAAATTGTACTTGTTTGACAGGTTTTCATTGCAGTAAGTCAATTCAAAACTGTCAAATCAGCCTTTTGTTGTTTTAGTTAACAAATAAACATGTTTGTTGGTTTTAAAAAATGATTATTAGTATGACATGTAAAACTCTCCCATTCTGTGTCTATGTCAACCACAACTTGTATTTCACATAGACTGTTTTCAATTAACCATATGGGCAAACGTTTTGGAGGTCAGGTGAACATTTGTCAAGAAATAAAACATTATAAGTAAAGGATTATGGAAATCGTTGAGTTCCATTAAATCCATAAAGCAATCAATTTTAGACCACCGTATAAAGCCTGGAGGCACTGGACGACCATGTCCTTCTAGTATGGAATCCCGGCAATGCGCAACCATGACCTCAAACGGGGGACACGATCCCAGGACCTTTGGTCTTACTTACGAACACTCAATCTCTAAACAACCGAGACTACATCCAACGGTCTGGATGTTCAACTTCATTCAATCTACGATACTGCGTGATTATCTTCCATTGTCTTCGGTTGTAACTACCTCACGCTCGATACGGTTGAACTCCGCTGGTTAAAGCTTCTCTACAGAACCCCAAGAATTTCCTCTCGAAACTGATCTCTAATGAGCAAATGATTGCTGTAACTTTAGAGTTTTCAATAATAGTCTGATATTGACCGGTTCATGATTTCAGTGTAATAAAACATTTGTTAAGATTCGTTTATATTTCTCATTCATGATTATTAGTCCATTGGTCATATTAGGTTAACATGATGAATTGTCTCAACATTCACAAATCATTCACTTTTTACTAAAACATATTTCATACAGCAATATATTACCTTTTATTTTATAACACTGGATTCATCAGTAAAATACTAAATTATTCCAATCTTCCAAAAATTATGTTAAAAGTACGGATAGATTATGCTTCTATCATTAATGTAAACAAAATGCCCCAATAATTTTCGTTTAATATGATGTGAAACAACTAATCAATTATTGTGCACCAAACAATTTACAAAATGAATTCTTATGACTGAATAATATAAAAGCATACCTACTGTCAGGAGTTTTGCTAATTATCTATCTTTCAACTCAATAATTATGATGTCTGTTTATGGAAAGCAGACTTCTTTAATTTTGTCACACCATATGGGTGCAGTAAAATGAAAATGTCAAGAACGTTACCAAAGACCCATGAGTATTCATATTAGATGTTGTAAAAAAGTTAGTAAAAGAGACTAGACATGGATAATATGATTGATGAAAAAATATTAGAGAAACAACATGTACTAATAATTAAAAAATTCTGGATCTAAGTCACCTGAGAAGTTGCTGCCGATTGTCACATACGTCACCCAACATCTTCACTACTGGTCACGGCAGTCGTAATTACTTTAATTAGGTAGTCTGCACTTATCAACATGACTCAAATTAGATTGATATATTGCTTAGATTTAGCAGTCCCTTGCATCTTTCTAAACTACTCTTATACCAGCTAACATCACATGCTAAACTGAGTGAAGATATTGCCATCTCACCTAGGAGATAATGATCTTACTTTAAGAATACATATAACCAAATTAACATCGATAAGTGATATCTATAAACATTATTACTAACTTTTAAAGGAAACCCATGTTGGAAAACAGAAGCATTTTTAGTTGATCTTGAAACAAGTTATTGAAATACATCAGATTATAGAGTAAGACAGACACAAGAGAGTTTTAATCTAAACTCATTTTAATCTCTACACCAATGACTTCAACATTAGATGATAACATCCCAACAGTAGTCATGGTTTCACTTAGTATTTGTGTCAATATTAAAGACTACTTTTCACAAATAAACTGAAATGTAACAGCACTGAACCCGATCTGCAATCTAGTCGATTGTATGTTGAACCATAGACTCCTTTATTTCATGGAAAGAAGTCCATTTTTCTCTTGATTACAGAGCACAAGGCAACACAAAATAATCCTTGGATAAAAATCTGTAATCTCTAAACGTGGAATTGAATTAGTATATCTCAGGATTCTTACCGATTAGGTCTCTTCATTTCTGGTAATCATTAATTTACCGATTTGATTTACCCATACAAGCAAAATAAATAGGAGAGATGAAATACCATTAGCCATGCCATGGTAACTAATTTATTAAGCAAACCTGAACTTCATTTTACATTTTGCTTCTGTTATTATATTGACAACATTAATATTTTTTACTTGTTGTAATCAGTTAATTTGGTTGAAATCAGCTTGGTTAACAAAATAACACAAACTTTCATTGGTTTATTTATCCTCACTAAATGACTTACACAATACGACAAGTCTCACTTTTAATTTTATTAACATGATTGGACGATCTATCTAGTATAAACTTAACCAGTGAATCATGTATTTATATTCGACAATTTTGATGTTTGACCGTAATTCATTGAAAAAAAAGCTTGAACCAATTAGCCGAGTGAGACCTTGGAATTTTGAAATTCAATTGCTGGAATTTTTCACAAATATAATTTTCCTCCTTCATGAGTTACATTAACTCGGCTCCCAAATAATACGAAACAATTCGTTTAGACTTAAACTAAAGTTCTCATAAATTACGAATCCAACGCTTTATCAACTAATCCATACAACTCATATAGTTTGTTTTCAATTTTTACCATTACTAGACCACATTTTCTTTAATTTTAATCCACTAAATGCATCTGATATTAAAATCTATGGTGAATCACTCATCTTCCTTGATATAAAATGTCGAAATTGTAAGCGTTTCCTTTAGCGTATATTTAGAATCGAATCTCATCGATCTATGCTAGCCTACAAGGATGAATAAATATATATTTCGACAGTGTTTGCATTAACATATCTATTGTATTTCAGATAATGTCCTATTAATTTAATTCTAAATATCTAAAAAGGAATAAAATGCAAATCCTTAAAACTAATAATTAACATATCTTAGTGGTTAGTGCATTAGACGCTTTAGCATTGTATACTGAAAACGAAGATTAATGTGTTAGTCAACATTAAGATGCTGTTGACACATTCATCCAACAAGTTTTAAATAGGGAAAAAAAGTACACTCGGGATTTTACTATTAACCACTACCTATAAGATCAATCCAACATTTTGGAATGTTAGCTACGAACAAAATCACTTAAATTTTCATTTATTTTACTATTTCGATGAGAAAAACATCTGATGGCATCGTTATATTTATTGATGGCAACAAATTTACACCGTTTAAAATTTTACTCCGCATAGTTACAGAAGTAGCCTGTCAAAGTCAGATATATTTACTGAAGTTATACTAAAGAAAAATCTTGTTCCACTAATATGGACTTTCATTGATTCAAAGAGGAGTAGTAATAAAGGAATTCAGTTTTTTGAATTATTCACAAACTTTCCATTTTAATGATTAATTTGTAAAAACGATAGTAGATACAGTCATAATTATGAGAGAACTTCCTTCCGTTTTCACATGTTTAAACGTGTGTATTTTCAATATTTGGCAATATATATATTGATTAGTGTTATTTGTCAAAAAACGTATTACTTGGTGAAATCAATTGGTAGATATCACTGAAACCGATTAAAATCCACATCAGGCAAATGGTATTGACTTTGATATTACATTAACTTTAGTAGATTGAAATTAAGTAAATTATCACCACTATTTTATTGAAAAAATTAAGTTTCAGTCTGACAAATTAGTTTTTTGAAATGTCGACTAGTTTATTTAACTTGTCAAAATATCTAATAAAGATTAGATCATTTTCAATAATAATAAACTTCGTCAAAAAATTCTTAAATATACCCTGAATATAATTAAACCAGCTATTGAAAGTGAATCTTAACGATATTAAGTGAAATACAGTAGTAA